AAAATTAAGTATCTAGGAATCAATCTACCAAAGGAAACAAAAGACCTCTACTCTGAAAACTACAAAACTCTGAAAATTGATATCAAAGAGGATATAAGAAAATGGAAAGATATCCCCTCCTCCTGGGTGGGAAGAATCAACATAGTGAAAATGTCCATACTATCAAAGCTACTATACAGATTCAATACAATCTGGATTGAAATTCCAACAGTATATTTCACAGAACTAGACAAAACAATCTAAAAATTCATTTGGAACAAGAAGAGATCTAGAATATCAAAAGAAATTCTAGGCAACAGTGACATGACTTGGTGTATAACAATCCTCAACTTGAGACTATACTACAGAGCCACTGTTATAAAAACAGCATGGTGTGGGAGAAGTTCAAGCCTGGCTGGGCCAGGTACACTGCACTCCTATCTCCTGAGCTAACTCAGAGACCTTGCTAAGGCTGAGCTAATTCGCCTAAGTGTGTAGATGCTGGGTTCAACAGGCCACACCTCTGCCCCTAGTCAGTGACTCCTTTGCCTCACCCAAGAAAAATCACTCCAGCATGCCTCCAATAAGATATGGCCAAATGTTAAATGCTCCTCCCATTCTCCTCTCCCATAGTTGTCCCTATATAAGCCTGTACATTTCCTGAATAAAGCGGCAGCATTCCAGAAACCTCCAGAAGTCTGCCTGATGATTCCACTCCTTACCCTCCCAGTCCAAGCTTATGAACCTTTTTGCACAAGTGGGCTCACAGACGACAAAAGCATGGTACTCAGGGGAAAAACACCCAAGAATCAATGAAATTGATACAGAAACAACTGCAGGCATACTCCGCTACCTCATCTTTGACAAAAGGAGTCAACCATCCTCACTGGGGGAAAGATAGCCTCTTTAATAACTTGTGTTGGAAAACCTGGGTATCAACCTGCCAAAGATTAAAACTAGACCACTCTCTTTCACTAAAGTAATGTCCAAGTGGATTAAAGATCTAAATATTAAAACAGAAAAACTAAACTTGTTGGAAGATAAGCTAGGTAGAACTCTTGAAGACATTGGCATAGGAAAAGATTTTTTGGACAAATCCTCAGTAGCCTGAGAACTATCACAAAGAATCAGTAACTGAGATCTCGTCTTATTAAAGATCTTACGTACTGCAAGAGAAATCACCAACAGAGCTAAGAGACAACCTACAGTGTGGGAAAAACTTTTTATTAGCTGCTCCTCAGACAAAGGACGTATCTAGAATATATAAAGAACTCAAAAAAAATCAGTCCCCCCAAATATAAAGACCTGATTCAAAAATGGGCATCTGAAATAAACAGACATTTCTCAGACAAAAGAAGTAAAAGCAGCAAATAAATACATGAAAAAATGTTCCACATCACTGGACAGTCAAAAGATACAGATGAAATCAACACTGAGATTCCACCTCACCCCACAAAGAATGGCTGCTATCAAGAAATCAACCAATAACAAATAATGGCAGGGTTGTGGGGAGAAAGGAACCCTTCTCCATAGTTGGTGGGAGTGCAGACTGGTGCAGCCACTGTGGAAATCAATATGGAGATACCTCGAAGAACTAGGATTAGAGGTTCCACTTGACCCAGCCGTCCCTCTGCTGGGTGTCTTCCCAAAAGAATTAAAAGAATTGTACCACAGTGATATATGCACACCCGTGTTTATAGTGGCACAGTTTGTAATAGCTAAAACTTGGAAACATCCCAATTGCCCATCAGTTGGAGACAGGATAAAGAATATGTGTTTTTTTAATAAAATGGAATACTTCTCAGCCATAAAGAATGAGAAACTAGGGTCATGTATATTGAAGCCATACTCTTAAGTGAAATAAAAAGAACACACATCTATAAATACCAAATAGTTTTTCTGATGTGAAAAACTAAAAGTGTAAATAAGATTCAAATTGTATAACTGATAATGTGAAATGAGAAGAAAAGGCTAAAGGTGTAGGGGAAGTGGGAAGGGTAAGGGAAAGGAAATAAGGGAAAAGAAAAAATATGAGAAAAGGAAAAAATGAAAATGAAGTCTTTGTAAATAGGGAAGGATGGAGGGGGTAAAGGGAGGCCAAGGGTATGGGGAAAAAATGAGAACCAAGATCTGCCATGTAAAGGTACAAAAGCCCAACGATGAATGTAACTGTACTGTATATGTAAAAAGTACCAATAAACTCAATTGAAAAAAAACAAAAACCAAAAAAACTATCTTCTCTACATCTCATGTTGGAGAAAAACTAAATGTTGGACCAGTCTCAGTCCTTGAGACGTTTGACCTTGTTTTCCATCTCTGTGTACCTGCCTTATTTATCAATGATAAATGATAAATTTAGTAAATTTAAAACCAAAGATTTTGTCTGATTAAAATCTGTAACTCTAAGACAACCGGCACCAGAGCTTGGAGGTCAGAAGTTGACTCTTTAATAAATGCTACATTCCTGCAAGTGCAAAAGCCTGTGGCCCTTCATTCAATTCTCCTCCATAATACTTAAATGCTACAAATAAAATTACAGGAGAAATTAAGAATATTGTTCCTGCTATTTCATCTAAATAGCTTCTAGTGATCTGCAGAAGTGCTTATTTAGATCACAGCTCATTGAAACAAAATTTTAAAACATATCCTAGAGAGATCTTACCATTTACCTCACTCATTATTACAAAGAAATGTGACAAGGTCTTCTTGGAGACCTAGGGGCCAAAGGTGACAGAGAAGCAAATGTTAATGGGGTAACATAGGGCTGATTTTCATTGAAGAGCGTTAGAGGTGGAGGATCTCCCCTGGCTACATTGTTAGTGACTGACTGAAATTACATCATTCAGCATTCTGTGTCTATTTATTAGATCATGGCAAAGTTCCTCAATCCAGTGAAGCTATTGTAATCCCCAAACATTTCAAGCATGCTCATTCCAGCGTGTGGAAACCTATTCTAAGAGCAAAATTTATATCAATAGTGATTTTTTTTTCATAGAGCTTATGCTTATAATTTGAATACAAACTATATTTGAAAGATGTCAGAGCAATGTTACAAATGCTGTGGACAACAAAGACAGCAAAACTGTGAAGGATATATTAAAGGTCAGTACAAGAATACAGTGAACGACTGCTACATATATATTTTTCAGCCTGACTGCACTAAAATTCCTTGTGATTTCAAATTAGAAATATCCAGGCAGAAGCCTCAAAGTTGAGTCAAGTACTTAAGAAGATCTTTTCTTTTTCTTTCTTTCTTTCTTAATTATGGAAGCACATTGAAAATTCTACTGATTTTTCTGGCAGTCTGTTGAATTATTTCTGCACTTTGGTTTTCCTATGTTAAACAGGAGACACACACTTATAATAATTTCTATTAATATTTTTAAGACCACATCTAGTTAACTCTATCTAAAAACTCAATGTTCCATAAGTTTTATGAAATTAATGCTCCTTTTATAAAAGGAAATTTAATAAAAACTAAGTTATAAAAGTGGTACACTTCATCCAAAAATGTTTGCTTTATTTGTTTTATTGTTATCTTTCTTAAATAATAAGTTTACTGTAAACAAAATTCCATGAACTATTACCCTCAGTCTTTACAAAGAATTCCAGGAGTTCAAGAAGAAAATAATTAGAAATGAGACTATAATTATTTGACTGAAGACAAAAATACTATTACAGATATAAGCATTCCATTGTATACTGCATTATCAGAAACATAAAGAGTAAAATAAACCCAACTCTCATTTTCTGTATCTGTACAGAGTCTTAAATGCCAAAGTGAATATATTCCCACAAGTGAATTTGTGATCCTGGTTCAAATATAATAAATAACCTTAAATATAAAACTCATTTTAAACATCTTGCCTTGAAAATAATCCAAAATTCAGACAACTTAAGAGTTTCTTGGTATGAACAGTATTTCTTATTGTCAGTATATCTTTGTGATGCAAAACAATTACATTTATCTCACATAATTGATACACAGACATGTCTCATCTGGAACATCTTTTTTCCCCCTCTCCATCTCTTTTTCCAAATTCTCTTTCCAACTCCACAAATTCTATTTCCCTGTTTCATACTGTGTTTCTTATTTTGTTCTTTCAATTATTTATATTTTGAGTTTCTTGTATAAGTTAAAACATGCCATATCTTTCCTTCTGTGTCTGATTTGTTTCATTTAGCATTTTGGTCTCAAGACACATCTATTTTTCTACAAATGACTGAAGACTACCTTTTTTATGGCTGTGTTGTACTCCAACACAGTGTATGTATCACATTTTCTTTAGCCATCCATCTTTTCATGGGCATATGGGCATTTTTATGGCATCCCCAGACTATTCCAAAGAGCATGCTACCAAATAATGCTCTGAATAGGATTGCCTACAAATAGGGATGGGGTGGGAGGATCAAAATATTTTAAACAAAAGACCACATTGGTATTGGAGTGCTGACAGACCATGACCAAGGAATGACACTTTTGAATCACCAGAGAACAGGTACCTCCTAAATAGTGTCAGATTCCTTAGGTGTGAAGCAAATATATGTCATGAAAAATAACTGTCATGCTCCTCATGTGTCCCTTGTATGTTCCTTGGAACAGGAACTGTGAAACAACAGAGGCAGCCTGAACAGATTCTGTGGTAATAAAATAGGGAAAAGCATATGCATTTGTTATACCTTTGATACGTCTGCATTCCTCCTTGGGAGCATGACTCGCACGTAAAAGTTAATTCATTCAGTATCTCTTGAATCCTAAATAACTCCTGCAGCAGTATGAGAGTGTGAGGAATACTAACATCACTTACAGAGATTCTATGACCTTAAATAACTCACATTCTTGTGAAGGAGAGAGACAGAGTTGATCTCAAAAGTTTCTCATGATTAAACCTTTGATATAAAAGTGGAGCCGGAGGCTTCCGAGTCTCAGCTCCAAAGGAAGCAAGAACCATGAGATGCACGAACCTTGAATGGCCTCAGCTGTCTGTTGGGACATAACCTTCCCGGAAGGATCCCAGCCAGAGTGGCACAATTCGGTTTATGGTAGAAAAGTCTCTATATCGGCAACTAAAGAGGGAACAGAACCATTACCCATGTCATGTGGGTTCTCTTTGGTCAGTGGACTACTTCTCACTGTGATTAAAAAAGGAATCGAATCCCACATGTGAGTTAATCTTCAGAGGCTAGAAGTTAAGCCATGGGGACTGGTAACATGCTTGTCCACAAAACTTGTCTTTGATTGATTTGCAGTATTATCACCAAAATTTGGAGTCTCCTGCCTTGATTGTCCACTGAATTTATTGTCCATTCTGTTCTCACTAAATTTGAACAATTTGCTTATAGTAAATCAAAAAGGCAGTACAAAAGTAAACATTATTTGTGCATTCAACAGTTTAGATTTTTTGAACAACAAGACTCAGGAAAATGTGGAATAGGAAATTGATTTTAGTAGGAAATTTCATACTCTCCAGAAGACCATATGAAAGCAGCCTTGGGGTGGAGAGGTCATTTGGAAGAGAGTCCAGCCGGCATGACAGCGCACACTGTCCTCCTAGCACTCCAGAAGTCTGAGGCAGCAGGACTGCGGGTTCAATCCCTTAGAAACTTTGTTGCAGATGAAAAGGGCAGAAGACACAGCTAAACTAAAGGCACTGAATTCAATCTAAGAGAGAGAGACAGAGAGAGAGACTCTTTATAAGTGATTAGTATTTGAACCTAAGCAGTGAGACCCAAATATATTTTCAATATTAGAGAAATTTTCTTTAAAATGCAAATGGACCTGTGAAGTCTGGGCTAGTGTAGCACCAGATTCATTGAGCAGCTGCAGCAAAAGAGCCTAAGAGACTAATGAAGACCTGGAGAGGAAGGTAATAATTATGGCTCTGAGGGCCCATCAAATTCACAAACACTTTTAAAATGTGCTAAATATATTGTTGGCAACAAACAGTCTAGGAGAAGTGCCAGAAGTCTGACAACATAAAACAAAATGTTCTTGTGTCATCATTGACCTGAAATTGCATATCTGAGAATGCAGGCTTAAAACTAATCATCAAATGTGTAAAGATATGCATAGAAATATGCCATACCCTAACTTTGTCACTTTAAAAATTGGTGATACTTCAGTTCCTACCAGGATGAGATTCATTACATAAATTATGAGAGGGCTAAAGAAATAAAAAGTGCACACTAAAAGGCATCATGGAAATCTTAAACTATTATGTATATGGAGAGATGTAAACTGTTTTTACGGTCAAGTAAAAATGCTGATGTAAAATAGTATGAATTGGTAAACTTGTCTGAGTTACAAATTTAAATGTTAAAAATATACCAATAGAAACTTCGAGAAACTTTGTAGCCTTCTTTACATATATCTGTATTTCCTTCACTTAATGTTTCTATGTTTTCTGAAAATTTTCACTAAAAATATTTTATTATTAAAAGCAATAGCTCTGTTCCTGCTTTTTTAAATTAACAACCTGCTATTTGAGATGTTCTGCTTATCCTAAGCCAGAAGCAAGAAAAGAGTTTCAACTCTTAAATGCCACATCCATTAGAAAACAGCCATAATATTTTTTCTTTTCTTTTCTTTCCTTTCTCCTACCCTTCCCACTTCCCCTACTGCTTTAGCCCTTTTCTTTCTATATCGCATTGTCAGCTATACAATTTGAACCTTATTTACACTTTTTAGTTTTTCACATCAGAAGAACTATTCAGTATTTCCTCGTGTGTCCTATTTATTTCACTTAAGAGTATCACCTCAATGTGCTTCCATTTAGCTACAAATGACTCCAGTTTCTCATTCTTTAATGCTGAGTAGTACTCCATCTTATAGAAAAATCACATCTTCTTTATCCAGTCCCCAATTGATGGGCAATTGAGTTGTTTTCAAGTTTCTATTATTACAAACTCTGTCACTATAAACATGGGTGCACATATATTACTGTGTTATGATTTTTTGAAGGGAAAAGAAAAAATATGAGAAAAGAAAAAAAATTGGAAACAAAGTCTTTGTAAATAGGGAAGGGTGGAGGGGGTCAAGGGAGGGCAGGGGAATGGGGAAGAAATAAGAACTAAGATACATCATGTAAAGGTACAAGATCTCAATGGTGAGTGTAACTGTACTGTATACCTAAAAAGTATCAATAAATTTAATGAAAAGAAGAAAGAAGTAATCATATAGTGAAGTTAAGAATTTCGCAGAGTCCCCCCAAAGCATCAGAATGAAAAACAAAACTAAGGCTGGGGATTTAGCTCAGTGGCACCACTCCTGCCTTGGAAGCTCAAGGTCCTGAGTTTGAAAGAGAGAGAGAGGGAGAGAGAGAGAGAGAGAGAGAAGCAAAACTAGGCAAAATAAAATTAGATGAAACTAAAAACATAAAAACTAAAAAGTGCAGAAAAGGAAACATTGGACAGAATGAAGAGACAAGCTGCAGAATGGGAAAAATATTTGCAAGCCATATATCTGATAATTGATTCAGAAAAAAAGTATGAAGAAAATAAATACCCTATATAAGATATAAGCAAAGGGTCTAAAGACATTTCTCCAAAGGGACACACCAATGACCAAACAGACATATGGAAAGAGTCTTGTCATCCCTGATCATCAGAGAAATGAAATTAAGACCACAATGAGCCATTACCTTATACCTATTAAGACGGCTATTATCAAAAAGACAAAATACAAAGTATTTGCAAGCGTGTGGAACAAAAAGGAATCCTTCCACATTAGTGAAAATGTAAATTAATATGGCCATTATTGAAGCCAGTATGAAAGTTCCTTATAGAACTAAAAACAGAACTACCATATGACCCAATGAGTTCATTTCAGAGTACACATTCAAAGGTCATGCAATCAGAATGTTCAGAAGGCATATGTAGTTCCATGTTTGTTTGTAGTATTATTTATAATAACCAAGATATGGGATATACCTATGTATCTGTCAATGGATGGATGGATAAAAAAGATGTGGCATATGTAAACAATGAAATAGTACTCATTCTTTAAAGAGAAAGAACTTCTGTAAGGGTGACAGACATAAATCATGAGATCTCACACTTAAGTGGAATCTTAAAGCATCAGAAAGTAGAGCGGAGGTTCCCAGAAGCTGGGGGAAAGGGTTGAGGGTTAGAGAAATGTTAGACGAAGAATACAAAGTTTCAGCCAGGCAGGAGGAATGAGGTAAGATCTATTCTACAACGTGATGATCAGTTGAGAGAAATGAGCTATTTGTTTGAAAATTGCTAAAAGGGTATATTTTAAATGATCTCACCACAAATAAAAGGTATGTGAGGTCATGAACATGTTAAGTACCTGGAATTAGCCATCCTATGATGTATGCATATGTTAAACCATGTTATTATGCCATAAAACTATCAATACATTTTTAAAAGATTTTGTAGAAACAAAAGTCCCCCTGCTTTGGAAAAGGGTCACAGCTGTTCTCGGGGAGGAGTTAAACACTTATATACTCTCCAAGAGTAAAACGCTCAAAGCAAGCACATAGTAAGCACCTAATCTTCATAGAAAATGCCTTGTAAAATTCATTACTCCTCTCGTATTTAGTACTCTTGAGCGTGATGTCTTTTTTGGAACGTTTCCTCCTCATTAGCATTTCCCTACAACTTTAATGTTCAAATCCAGAACTCTTTCCTGAATATTTCAGATGAAATAGCTCACACATCCCTAACATTCAACATAAATCAAATTAGAATATTCAATCCCACACACACATCAACCACATTTTATCCCTCTGTGTTTCTTTTTGACTAAAAACAGTTATTAGTGTCTCCAAATACAAGAACTTTCAGCATCAACTTCACCAATCCACAAAGAAAGACTTGACTCCTAAATATTCCACATATTTATTCTCCATTTTCTACCTCCACTCTTACTGCCTTGGTTTTGACCTCATTTATATTTTAATTACTTAAATGACTTTTAAGTGACATCCAGTTTTATACCAAGGTCATTATTTCCTTGATATACTATCTCATCTTGTTATTCCTGGATTTAAAAATTTTCATGAGCTTCTCATTACTTTCAAATTCTCCATGACTTTTTACCCTTCCTGATATAGCTATCTTGACTCTTTCTTTCTCCAGTTTTTTATCATTGCACATTGGCAATACGTCATAGTTCCATTCATGCTGGGGCATTGATACTATACTTGTAAGGCCCCTAAAGCCCTGTACTGCTTGTTCCTCTATACATTTGCTTATACCTTCTACTCTCAAGATTCAGTTTTTCAAGGACTCACTGAAGTGCTGCTGGAAAATTGAGTAGGACTTCTCCTAGGTGGTAGTGCTAGAGTATGTGAGTTATGGATTGGGAAGTTTGAGCACATATAAACAGGTAAAGCAAGAATTATCTTCACAAATATCAAAATCAATGAAATGTTAAGTAAATTCATGGCAAAACAATGTTGGCCATAAGGAAAACACAAAGAAATACAAGAAACTTCTGCTTGGAAACTGAGTCTTTTAAGGAAATTAGAAAGAGACAAGTCTAATTACAGAACACAAATGGGGGTGGCTCAAACACTAGTAAAGTTTCTTAACTGTAAAGTCCACCAGTCTCTTTAGCCATGATTTATTTTGTCAAGTGTAGAGATGTGTGATCCAAATAGTCTCACTTTAGAATTTAGACTAGGAACAAACAGGCAAACCACAAAAAAAAAAAGCATTAGAGCAAAAAAAAGTCTTGGATCCCTTTTGTCCATGTCTTTGTGGGTGGTTGCTTCTGACCTCTCAGAAGAGCCTTGGCTTCCTTCCTCCTGGATATTTAATTTGGATTCCCAGAACCTGTTACTGAATTTCCTTTGGGCTTTGAGTACACGGAAAGGTCTCAAAATTAATGAGAACAGAGCAGGCAGGAAATCAATACCTTCAAGATGATTCCTTTTGTGTGAAAAGGTGGTGTTTAAAATTTATATTTATACAACCAAATAATAAATCTCAACCCTAGGAAGATGCCCACATCCAGTGTGGCTGGGAAGGGGTGCTGTCTTCATGGCGAGTGGGAGCCAGTTCCCCTCCTCCTTGGTGCTGTGGCCTCCACTTGGCATCATATGGCTGGGGTGAAGGCAGTGCAGAGACGCTCAGCAGAAGTGTTCAGATACCTACCTGTGAGCAGTGGCATTTGATGGAGAGCACCTGTGGTATAAGCACACCTTGCCTGTGAGTCCCTGGAGTCTCCCATACACCCTGCCACATGCAGTTAATGGGCACATCAGCACTTTAAAAGTTGAGTCTTCAAGCCTAGGGGCCCATCGTTGGTTTATGGACAAAGAAAATGTGGCAGGTATACACAATGGGGTATTATTTAGTCATAAAGGAAAACACAATTCACAGGAAAATGGATGAATGTGGAGATCATCATGTTGAGCACAATAAGCCAGACTCAGGGAGATCAGTATCACATGTTCTCCATAATATGTGGAATCTTTAAATGGTAACAAGGAATTATAAGGGAAACTATTATTCCACAAGAGGAAAGGAATAAGGAAAGGAGGTGTGAAAGTGTGTGATGAGAGAAAGGATACGATCAAAATATGTTATACACATTGAACCCCCCCAAAAAATGAAACTAGGGAGATGGTGGGACAAGGTAGGTAATGGGAGACATGATTAAAATATGCTATGTGCATGTGCAAATTTGTCCAAGGGAACCCCATTAATCAGTACAACCAATACTCACTAATAAGGAAAAATGTGGCTCATAATCCTTTGGTGGACAAGAGAGCTGTTTCCAGCCGGTAAGTCATTAAAATACACTGTTAGGGCCCCAGGATTTACCTCAGTGGTTCCACCACCTGCCTCGCAAGTGCAAGGCACCAAATTTGATCCCTGGTACCAAATAAATAAATAAATAAAAATAAAATACACAGTAGGGGGTATATAGCTCAGAGTAGAGCACTTTCTCAACTTGTGTGAGGCTATGGCTTCAGTCTCCAGCACCAGAGGGAAAAGAAAAACAGTGGCAGCACCAACGGACTGGGATGACATTGAGAATAACAACCATAGAATCAAAGCAAAGTAAAATCACCGAATTAACCAGTGCTGCAGAGTCAAGAGAAAAGGCAGAACTAAGATGATACAGAGTTATAATTGGGAAGGTGATACATTCTGTGATAATCCAAAGAATGGGCTGAAAAGACAGAGTAAAACAGGATATAGAGACTGAGGTCCACAGAGCCAGCCAGGGAGGATGACCCTGGTAAGTATGGTAGGGAGGGTCTCTCTTTAAAGAAGCTGACCTGTGTTCCTCAGTCCATGGGCTCATTAGACTCTGTCACAGCACTGGACCTGCTGAGACCACTGATGGCCCCAGAGGCCTCCCCCACAAGTTGAGCCCCAGAAGAGAGTGATACCCGCTCATGGGGATGCCCAGCACCAAGCCGAGTCCCTCATCCTGGGGAGACCAGAAAGGTTTGCTGAAAACATACCGAGTGAATTTACACACTCACTGCGCAGATGTAGGATTTCAAACAGTCTAGATAACTACAGGGGAGAATGGCAGGAACAAATATGTTAAAGCAAAAATGTTTCTAAAAATGCAAATACAATGCCTTTGTATAAAATTCCTTTTCAGATTACAAACAATTGCCTTATTCTTCTGAGTAACTTTGAAACATAAAAATGATGCTGGAAACAAGAAGAGAAAAAGCAAATTTATCTTTCTTGTAGCAAATAAAGTATGCAGTTTCCACTTTTGCCAAATCCCTATGTTCTAGCAGAATAATATCCTTGTGCTCTTAATGCATATTTATAACCTTCTAGAGCAGTGTTAATCTTTAAACAGAGCCAGGATCAATGACATGTACTTAACAACAAAAACAAACAACAACAACAACAAAAACAGTACCCATTTGCCTCCAAACTAAGTAAAATATTTTCACTGCTTTAGTGCACACTGGGAAATGTACTTTTTAAAAATTGTCTACTCACCATCTGATCATATCTTAAAATGTCCCCTATATTCCAAAAGCTGTTTGTTTGGAAATACTGATCTACATTTGAAATCTCAGAAGGCAGGACAAAAATCAGTAAAAAATAAAAACTCAGGATAAATCTAATTGCACTGAAGTTTGTTCACAATCAAAAGAGGAACCTAATCTCTCACAAAGATACTACCAGCTTTACTGTGTGTATCAATAGGTCATATATTCTTCCTCAAATGCAAACAACAAGAAACAAGTTAGCTACAGGATGAGTTGAAGATTCAATTTGTTTCTCTAGTACATAGAAAGATAATAAAAAGAACTATCAGAGGAATTGCCTTATATAACAAAGCCATTCTCCATGATGAATATGTAAAAATCCTTCAGTCTATAGTGAATTTGGCAGAGCTGGGAACAGTATTCTGCGTGTAAAAAAATAACAGTAATGAAAATAGTAATAGAACAAGAGCCCTACTGGAAACCTAATTTCAAGCTTCCATTTCTTTGATATTTCTTACCAGTATGTCAATGTTCAGAAAGGATATAATTGATCATTAATAGAACTTTACAGACACAGAAGCATGGATTTGGAATAAGCTAGAACTCAACCTAAATATCAACCTTTGATAGTTGCTGCCTTTGACCTCAGTCTGAACAACTATTAAACAAGATAAATACTGCCCATAACATCAAATTAATACGAAGAATAAAGCAAATGGGAAAATGTAAAATTCCTGGAATAAAGTGAGACATTTGCCAATATGGATGGCCTTCTAAATTATTTTAATGCATGGAGATTTAATGGAAGGAATAGAATAGAAAGGAGGTAAGGAAAGAAAGCAAATATGGATTACGCATCAGAGAAAACTATTATGTTGAGGAACAGACGCCTCTTGGGGATGAAAATGAGCATGGATTTCTGGTGCTGTCACTACAGTGTGGGCTCAGCCACCCCTGCACAGCTCCCTAACCCTTTGGCCATCAGAAAATGATAGCTTAGGCCCTGGACTCATGATTTGATGGATCTGCAAAAGCTCTCACTAAATCATTTCCTGTTCTCTTTCCATTGTCTCTGCAGAGTGAGAAATGCCTGATGGAGATAATAGCTGGAATAATTTATGAAAATGGCTTTTTACTCACTGCCTTTTTTATAGAACTCAGGGAACCTTGTTTTTACATACAGGGTCCATGACACACTCTACTTCAAAGTTATTTTCAATTTTTAAAAATGTTTGAGATCCAAATTATTTTTTAAATTGTAGTTATTATTCACACCTCTCTGTTTATTTGTTACATCTCTTTTAGGTTTGGACTTTAAGTTTTTCAAACACTTGGAGAGTGTACTGCCTGGATGAGGGAATATGGTTAGGTTATATATTCATTTCATCATCTTGACCAGGAAATTGAAAAAAGAAAGAAAGAGAAAAGAAAAATGTTCACGCTCTTGCTCAGAGAAGCACTGGTGGTTTGCAAATCCTTTCGGAGTCATAGAGCAGAGAGAAAAATGGTTGCCTTGGTAACAAGGCAGACCAGTCAGTTGCATACACTCTCCCGAGAGCATCTAATTTATTCAACCAGTGCAGCTAGAACAGGTGGCTTAACCTAGATGGTGCCAAAGAGCACCCGCTCACCAGCACGGGCATCCTCCACATTTTCTTGTGTACAAAGTGTCATTCTCGTCTGAGATAGAGAAAGAGTTAGCAAGGTACATTTCCATGTGGCTCATAATCCTTTGGTGGACAGGAGAGCTGTCTGTATTTGTTCCTTTTGAGTTTTCAGATGCAAAAAGTGCACGCGATTTCACAGAATGGATCCAGACCAACAATTTAATCATCTTAACCCCTGTTATTAAATTTCATTATTTACCTTCTAACAAAACGTACATCATTGTGTCTTAAAATCAAACGAGTTTATGCTTGGACTTCACAGTTCTTGCTGTACATGATAAACAACCCCTGAAATTGCACTTTCATACACAGTATGAAAATGCATAGGTACATGGCACTGATTCTAAATTGTCAAAGGAACAAAAAAAAAAAGGAATTTCATCAGCCAGTTAAGGCTCTGGTTACCACAGCATTATGTAATACCAATTACTGTGAGCATAAAGGAAAATTCTGGAGAAGTAGCAGTAAGAGACATAATTTTTACATGACGTAAGCACATTCATGTTGAAGCCCACTTTTCTTGTGCCACCCCATCTCTAAGCATCTCTCCCAGAACATTTGAACTCCATGCAACAAAACCCCACTGCAATCTCCTCTGTCCACTCTGCTCTTACACTGGCTGCCGTCTCTGTCTTCAAGGACGGATCCACTCCACAAGGCCAGGACCTGACATTTCCTCCCCCCACGTCCGGTAGGAATTGCTGCTTCAGATGATGAGCGTTTCACCATGTCCCCTCTGCTCATGATTGCATCGCTTATTTAGCAAACCACCTGTTCGTCAGCTGGAGTCCTGTAGAACTTAAATGTAGGGAGTTCACATCCAGAGAGTGGTGCCTGGGAACGTGATATGAAATCACAGTTATCTGATAAAAGAATGAAAGAGTAAGTTAATGGGAGGGATGGAATTTTGTCTTTCTGACTTTTGTTCAATTCTGGTATGGGGCAAAACACTTTCAAACACTGATGTGAGACCAAAATAACAGAGGTAAAATACAATAAAGAATGGAATCTTCTTTAAAGGAAGCCTTAAAGGGAGCGCCTCTTTTTAAAACTGAATGCGAGTCCATTTCCGGGCTGCAGATCCTGACATCCCTGTACTTAGAGAAGTTCAACCAAAAATAAAAAAATAAAATAAAATAAAATAAATAAATAAATAAATAAAAACACTAAGCTTAACTGATTTTACATTCAAGTTTGCTACTCCGCGCTATATAGCAATGACGTAAGCAAGTGTTTGTTGAAATGACATTTTTTTCATTGAGTTTATTGGTACTTTTTAGGTATACAGTACAGTCGCATTCATCATTGGGATCTTGTACCTTTACATGACAGGTCTTGGTTCTCATTTTTCCCCATACCCCTGCCCTCCCTGCTCTGAAATGACATTTTAAATAAGAGGCAATGTCAGCTACGAAGGAGAGGCCTTAGCATTTCTCTATTGATCTGCTTTAGAATTCTTGCGATTGTTTCCAAAGGTGACCCTTGTCCAGTGAGGACGTCTCCTTGGCAACAGAGATGACTGCTTCCGGCATGTAGGAAAAAGGCTTCTGTGCTTGTTTTGTACTCAGCTACCATCCAGAGATGCTACGTTGCTCCAGAGAAAGCAACAACCTCTCGTTTTTAAGTACCAACCTGCTCTCCAGTTCAAGGATTGCATGTTACTCTAGAAAACATGAGGTAGTAGTAATTATCAGGCAACAGTTTCCTCATCTCATAAAGAGGACGAGACCTCTATATTTAGATATTTTTCATTCTTCTTTTCTAATTGCTCCGTTATGTGTGTCTGTATGTGTGTACGCACACACGTTGTGCTTTCCCCCACCCCACCCTCCTTTCTGTATTCTCTGCTGTAAAGCATTCTTATAAATTCCCTGCTTTCTGTTTGGTCTCTGTTTTCCTTACTTTCTATTCCCAGTAATAGCTTCTTTGCACCTCTCAGTTTCTAACATCAAGCAAAATATGGATCGGAATTAAGCATCAACATCTCATGGTCAAAAAGTCCTCCTTGGAACAACTGGCAGTGGTAGCACAAGTATTCCCATAGTGCTGCACGGTGAGGCGGGAAAACGCAACGGACTGGGAAAACAAAGCTTCCGCTTCCGCTCAATTGGCTTGGAAGCGGCCTAGGGAGTTAGTGAACACATCTCTCCCTGGTCTAGCTGGGTCGTGGAATGTGATCTTGGGGTCCATACCTCGTCCCTGACTCTTTCTTCTTTGACACTGTTCGCCTGCTCTGCTCCCCAGCCACCATAGTCTGAAAACTTTCGTTCCCCCACACCTTCTCCCATGACACTCTCCCTTAGAGACAACTGACAGTGAAATTACAAGGCAAATTAAACCTCTCTTCCTTTAAGTCAGAGGCATCAGGTCCATCAGTCCAGCAGCAGAAAAGCTACCTAATAGATAAACTTTGAAATTAATGTTGTTTAAAACCAATTCTTCCTTTGGTTCACATCCATGTTTTTAAACAGCATAGCAACATTTTATTTGTTGTGGCTTTTTGCCTTCCAAGAACAGTTTGGAGATACTTTTCTTGATCTTCATGAAATCTCTTTACAGCAGTTTTGTAAAACTCTCCAGTCACATCACAAAGTGGGTGGAAAATCCAGTACCTCAGACATATCTCCACACTAATGACATTATTTTGTCTTGATTTTATGCTCATAAAAAGTATTGACATTGTAGAAAATTTTACTAGAAGAAAAGTCTTCCTAAGAGATGCTTCCAGATATATAACTGAAGAAAGTAGATTTTTACAGTGGGACGTGATATATCAAAAGCTGTCTAATAGCCCAGCTTCTGTCAATGTGGAGCCTATGAAATTCTAAGAATGAACAGGAAAAGAGCAATAGGTTTTTCACACCCAATATTTACTATTCATGGCATATGAATATTAAAATATTGTTTAACAGATACTGTTATGAACTCTTGGACTTAAAGTACATTTTACCCAAATAGCTTGAAATTTAATTCTGCAATGGACCTGAGAAATAATGGAACTCCTTATTTTATATAAAAAGGAACACCAAGAAATATACAAAACAGGCTAATGCTGTTTGTTCAAATGTTCACAAATGTTCGCCATAAGTTTCTTCAAAATAAGAATTACATTTTGCCTTCATTGTTAAGTGTTTTGCCTTATAACATAATATCCAACTTCAACAATCCCTAACAAGCTTGATTATTTGGGCCATGTCTGTAGCATCAGTTAGGATGCTGAAAATAACAGAAAATGTCATCTGGAGTGACTTATTAAACATTGGATAATTTTTATGACATGTATGTCAAAATTTCATACTGTGCCTATGCACCCTTGTACACATGCAGTTATTATGTGTCAATTAAGAATTTAAAAGGAGTAGTCTTGAGAGAGTCAATAAGTGTTGGTTCAATGGTTGGACCACCTTGGGGCTAGAGTTTCTGAAATCATCTAGGGGATCGCTCATGATTGGCTCCTCGGGGTCACAGTGTGGATTCAGTCAGATTCAGAACCCCAGAGCGCCAATCGGAAAGGGGGGAGAAACGGTGGTGCGAGTCTTTACATTAGAACCCAAATCCTTCCTAGAGCACTAGGAAAATGTATGCGTAGGGTTCATTCTCCATAACTAATCCATATGGTTGCTCCCACTGCAAGGTAACATGACTTCGTTTTTTTCAGCTGTTCTACCAGAACTGATAGTAGAGAAATGGACTTGAAATACATGAAGATGAGCTACAAGGAATAGATGTTTATTTGAAGATAGATGACAGACAATAGACAGATGACCAAAGGCGGAATGCAAGGGAGATGGAAGGAAGGAAGAGCTTAAAACAGGAAAGATGTATTCCACAGCAGTCTTAAAATAGAAAAACAGAGCATTCAAAATGAGAAACAGAAGTGATACGAAGCCACATTTCAATGCTTTCCAAATTCTTTCAGCGATGGGTAACAGAAGCAAACTGTGTCCGTGTTCAGAGTCTGCAGTAGCTGAAGCAGACCAGAGTACAGAGCAACTGCAGCAAGCACTAAGAGCCTCTACGTTGTGCCCATTGTCAAGTCAAGGCAAAGCACCAGATTAGCGACTGCTATGAAAATTGACCCAACTCTGAATACACAGAGTGTGAGATCATTACTCCATACGAATAATGCAAATAATTTGTTCACACTGTTTCTCTAACACAGCCTTTGGAAGGACTATATTATTACAAGTTATTTGCAGTTTGAAATTGCTTCCAACTATTCTGAAAGTGCTCATGAGTATCTTTAGAAGTTCTTTCTTCTCTTCTGGGTCAGTGTCATACAACATTAAGCCAAGCAGGCTGTATGAATTTCCATGGTATCGGCAGCTTCAATTTCTAAGCTACCACTGCCATCTCACCCTGCAGAAAACAGGGATGGAATGTAATGCTACCTCTTCCTCCCGCTGTCCTGCTAGAACATAAGTTCCATGAGGGTAGAGACTCTGGTAGTCCTGGTAGCTGTTGTATTCCTAGTATTTACAACAGTGACCAGTACAAAATAGTCATTCACTAAACACATTGCTTTCTGAGTAGGTAAAAATTAATTCTTTGTAGACCTATCACCTGGCAGGAAAAAAATTACTCTTCTTCAAGGTCAAACGATGAATTCTGCAAGATTACAGCAATCTAGGTGGCACACCAATAGAGTTAAACATCATGTCTTTAAGAAAATAACTAACTGATCAAAAGAATTAAATTATGAATGCCTTAACAGTGTGATCCTTATACTTACCTTTTGCCTCTGACACATAAAAAATGTCTATAAAATGATTTCTATCAGGTGACTCTCAAAGTGATAGAAATCACTATTTACTTCAGTCCATTTAGTGGGTACTCCTCCCATGAATAGCCAACACTCGAACTTTGTTCCTAAAGCTACAATGGAAGCTCCAAAGAATTCAGTCTTCCAAGCAAAAGGCTAGTGAAAATCTCAGAAGAAATTCATAAGATGGAGCTAAGTATCCACACAAATACACACATGCACAGGTACAGCACTTTTTCAGATCATTCGAGGCTATGAAAATAAACTCTTGCCAAAGAGAATAAAAGGATACTCCTGAGAACCCTTGGGGTTTTTCTCCAAGAAGCAGAATCAAATAACCCTATGAAGACTAGGATTCTATAAAGTCATATTCACTCTAAAATTTTATCCATAGAATCCAAGTAATTTTTTGACAATTAAAGTGAAGATGCTATTACTTTTTATATCTAGAAAAGGTTAAAAAAACATGGTTTTGTTGACAATTACCACTTTTACCTCTTACTCAAATTATTTTTAAAGCAGAGCTGGCCATTAACAACCTGGTTCACACAATTTTACAAACAAAGCAGCAGATGATGTAAATATACAAATTGTCAACAAGCCATACACTGCATTACAGGAACACTTTTGACACCGGCTCTTCTTTTTCGCTTGTGGTATTTCTATGATGGTGCATGCAAACATATCTAATTGAGTGCAAGCCATGCCAATATCCTGGGAGTGCAAGTGTACACATTATTCTTACTGATGCCAATAAAGCCTTCAGCAGTGCAATGTACTATCTGTATAAGCACAAACATGAAGGCTTTTTAATTCAGGCATTTTATTCCAGAGAAAGGAAAGAAAAAAAAAGATCCAGAGAAAATACACACACGAGCAAACAATAGGAAGCCATCAGCTAGAAGCCAGAAGGCTGGAGCATTAATTGAACATTACCTTTTCTCATAGAGAGGCACATACGTCATGGTCATTTCTGCCTTTTCTCGCAGTGCTGATTTCAAACCCCCAGCTGAGAAGGCAGCTGTGCAGAGCAAGGAACTGGTGCGCTCAGCGGGAGTCCTGTACCCTAATGCTACTCCCAGAAATTCATGCTTGCTTTCAGTTGCATGTTGTCATTAACAACGCCAGAAATGTGAAATGTTATCCTCTTTTCCACAGCAGTGGTGCAAAGATCACCGTGATGGTTTCACTAAAGACTTTCAAAGCCTGCATCACCTTATTTTTAGTGTTATTTGTTTTCAGCTTAGCCTCCAAAGAATAGGTCTTGGCTAGATTTCAAGATATTGAAATTCAGGAGAGCTTCCATTAATCATGATCTTGATGGAATAATGGAAAACAGACGGCAAAGTTGAAGCATGTGGGAGAGGGGGTGTTGGTTGCTTCTTCCCATCCCTATGCCAAAAAAAAAAAAAAAAAAAAAAGAAGAGGAAGAAGAAGAAGAAAGAAAGAAGGTTTCACTGTTGCAGTTCAATTTTTTCCTAGATTGCAACATCAAAATCCTAATCTTTAATAAAGAAAGCAATTGTATTTTACTTTCTGGTCAAATTAACCATAAAACATTAACTGCAAACTAGAATAAAGCCATATTTTTAAAAGCTCTTGAAAATGGAATTTATTTACATCTGCTCCCGTATAGTGGCATTAAAAATGCTTTATGAGGTACTTAGGGAATGCCTTGAGAAATAATTACCAGGAAAGCACAGAGCAACGTGATGGCTGCAGTTGCTAACTACAGAGTATGATTGATGCCAGGAGTCTGTCACAAATGAATAAAACATGTCACGTTCAAAGAGGGCACTCTGGAGGGGGCTAGGGTTTAAGATCGGCGGAAAGCAGTTGTTTACATTTCTGAGAGCGCTACAGATTTAGTATCTATATGTGCTTAATGCATAGAATTGCATTTTTACCTACAGAATTTACATTTGTGTTGATACGGGTATTAGAGGACATGTGGTTTCAACATGTAAAATAATATTTAATATGTCTCACCAATTCTAAGCATGCATTTCACTGAGTATGTCAAGTAAGCACTTTTGACCTCAAAGCTGCAAGCAGATATAAAAGTTAATACAAAACACTTCGATAGATGAATAATTACAAGTCATTTCAGGGTTGTCTTCCATTTCTATTCACTTTATTCTATGAGTTAATTAGGAAAAGACTCAGAAGTAAAATCCTAAACTTCAGAAATTCTGAGTTACCTGTGTATATTGTTAGAATAAATGATGTCTAGAATTTTATCACCCTACTTTAAAACCAAGATTATGTAAACAAAGCACATATACACTCTTAACACAACCTTTCAAGAAATTGCCTTTGTGTGTTAGATGAAGTTCCAACCAAAAATATTTGGAAAAACAGAAGTCTAATACATACCTATTGTTGAGTAACAAAACATCATACATTTCCCAGCTTAAAGCAAAATAGATTTCTTATTTGGGAAATTTAAATGAAGAAAATTATTTAAGATTTTTTCCAGGAAAGCATCATTTCCAAAAATTTTGCATGTTGGTTTGAATATCAAATATTATATTCCAAAGATGCTACTTTAGTCTATAATATGAATGCAATATTTGTTGATAATTTTAATAGTGTAATAAAATATGCAACACTAGTATTTTAGAATCTTTATTCTCACTGTGACCCAAAATAATTGCAGATAGACCAGGGAAATTTAGTGGTAGAATGAATCCATTTGGGCAACTAAAATGATGTATGAAAATAAAAGAAGTCACAAAGGAAGAGATCTGCTGAACTATATAAGTTTTAATAGGCTAAACATTATTTATTAATTGACAGATACTATTTGTATATGTCTGTGGGGCAAGATATGAAAATATGATACATGTATACAAGGTATAATTAGCATACTTAGCATTTTATCCAAACATTTATTATTTCTGGGTGTGCTAAAACTTTGGATATTTTTTTCTAGAGATTTTTTAGGGTACATTAACTTTCTGTATATTATATTTACCCTACTCTGTTGCAGAAGGTGAGAACTCTCAACTAACCGTATTTTATTACCTGTTATTCAAGCTCTCTGTATCTTTACCTTTCCTCCCCATCCTTCTGTGCATCCGATGAACACTATTCTAACCTCTGAGATCTTTTGGCTTTCACAAATGAATGAGAAATTGAAAACTACTTTTAGACTGGGACGTAAAAGTATTCTGAAATTACTACTTGAAGAGCTAACATGGATTCAATAAGAAACATAACCTTAACTGATTGAAGTAGAACAAGAAGACATACTTCAAAACTAGGAAATGTAAACACTAAAGACACATCTTTTTACAAATAATTACCACTGGGCGTGGTAGCACATGCCTGTAATCCCAGCACTCGGGAGACTGAGGCAGGAGGATCACTGTGAGTTCAAGACCAGCCTGAGCTACGTAGTGAATTCCAGGTCAGTCTCAACTACATAGTGAGACCCTGTCTCAAAAAAAACAAAAACAAATAAACAAACAAATAATTATGGATACTCAAATTAAGTTAAAAATTAGATTCCTCTTTACCCATCAAATAATCAAATTGTTAAATAACCACAGTACACTATCATATATTACCATTGATATTTCAAACTGGTGTATATAAATTGGGAAGAAAAATATCACATTAGAAGAGACTGAAGAAAATTGTTCACATCTTCAATTCTAATAGCCGTATCTGGGATTCTGTTATTTTTTACAAAAACTTTTTATTCACAATAGCGCTTAGCACATTACATCATATAATCATACAGTGGAAAAAAACTAAATGGACAACAATAAGTAAATAGTTCAAAAGGTGAAAATTGTCCTTTTAGCAGTCAGTGCAAGTAGGCTGCGTTAAGCAACATACACAAAATGCCAACAATAACAAGTGATGTTTGCCCGTGGTCATGCCTGAAACAAGATAGAGACAAGGACATGCTATGACTACAAGACAGCTAACCCTAACCCAGTGACTACTGCATTGGACCAATAGCCCTTCTCCATTGCTTTGACCTTCTCACTTCCTGAAGACTGGGAAGAGAGCCAATCCCGAAAGTGGCCCTGCTCTCACACAGCATCCAATTCTGAAATGGTCCCATCTCTTTAAACCCTATGAAGAACACTCTGCAGAAGCCCAAACCCCCTCCAAAGCTTTGCTTCAACTCTTACTGAGACCTCCAGGATTCCTCTGGTAAGGAGTCTCCTTCCCTGCAGCAGGCTGAATAAACTCCATGTTGTTCCAGAAAGAGGTCTTCACAGTCTTTGCCCGGTAGATATCAATAGTTCAGATTTCAACAATCTATTATTGGTATGATGCAGCCAAATACCAAGGAACAAATGTGTACATCACCAGCAAAATTGATACCATTTACTAAGTGAGCTGATGCCCTCCCATTGGTTAAAAACTAAAGCTGATTAATCCATCCATATAATTATTTGATTTATTGGTACATATGTTATTGATTTATATGGCTTGGTAAATGTTCTATATACATAACAATGTAGTGATTTATTTCTTTATATATATTTACTATGTGTTCATTCCTTCATTATTTAATCAAATATAGCTGAATGACTTTAATTGTCCAGACATTTCCCAGGGCTGAGTGACAGGGCAAAGAGTTGAACAGGGTGAACCACCTACTGGAAAAGAGATAGAAGCAGAAGGAAGACTTCAAGAAGCTGAGGCTAAGCTTTACCGTGAGTGCTAACAACCAGAATGCAAGGCAGGCGGAGGAGAAATGGAAGAACATCTCAGGCTAAGCTAGAGTATGTAACTAAGAGCTCAGATGAGAAAAACAGTGAATGCTTGCTGAAAGGAAAGAAATTGATATCCATGTGGTGCGACCAGTGAGAGGCTTGTATAGGAAGTGAAACCTAACCTAGAGCCCTGACAGTGGAGAAAGCAGAAAGCGTGGAGTAACTGCATCAGCCGCTGTCCCAGGGTGGGACATAGTGGACAATATAAATTTTTATGGAACAACTTGCCGATTTTCACAGATATGTCTCACTTAAATTAGGAACCACGATTTTAGTTTTACGGCAATATCTCTCCAGGTAGATTTACAAATTACACATTAAATCAGAGCTCTTGCGTGGCAAAGTTTCATTCCTATGGTGGTAAACTGCCACTTGTTATAGGATCTTTCCTGAGGCTGGGAGGTTGCACACAGAAAAAGTCAGCTGAAAAAAAAAAATAACAAATGAGAACCTTCTGAACTATTTGGTTATCCCATGAAAATACTACCTGTTTGTCAGGGTTTCCCTCATGGTACTACAAAGGAATTTTTCACATACATTGCTACATTTTTTTAAAAAAACTCTGAGTTGGGGAAAAAAAAAAACGAAAAAGTAATGCTTCTTTGAAATTAACTAGCTGAAGAAAGAATATCAGTCAGATTTTGATGAAGAAAAGTTTTGCCAAGTTCCAAAGGTATAAAAATACGAAATGTGAGGAAAGATACATCTGAAACTTTAAATTGGGTTTGGAAGCGTTGCAAGTATAGTTACATATGGCAGGCAAACAGAGCACAAGCCAAAGAGGGAAAACGAGTGTGAGAAGGTGTGAAGTTTGATCGTGTATGTGGGGAACATTAGCAAAGGGAATAAAAAGGAAATATCTGCATAGAAAATGGGCCACATTTGTATAGGAAAGGGATCCCGGGGAGGGAGCAGTTTCAAACAGAATGAGGAGCCAGACAAATCCCAGTTGCACAAACAGTCTTAGATTCTATTTGATTCTTATTTCCCCTTCTTGCCTTAAAAACAGCCTTTTACTTCTTTATCTAGAAACAACATCTTTCTCTCTTTCACTCCATTAGCAAAAGCTTTCGGGGATCTTGTATTGTAGAGTTAAAATGTAGACACACCTAAGAGAGCTATGAGGCAAAACTCGGCATTTATTTTTGGTCCTATTTCATGTTTAAAATGATGTTTTTCTATTAATGGTTGGCAAGTGTGCTAATGGGAAATAAAACACAAATGCAACAGAAGGGCTCTTGTATATTTAATGGGTAACTGAGGAATTTTCTTTGAATATAGTGTATATTACATTGTTATTCCAAGAAAGAAGAAATAGCATTCTCTATATCTTATTTCAAGCCACCGTAGGTACCAAAGTGATTTTTAATATCCATTCAAATAGGACAAAGGTGTTTCACAGATTTTCAATGTTATTCTCCTTATTTAAAAGTGAAAGTGCATCTGGTGAGTAAGTTTTAATGTAATATAAAATGTACATAACTGAATTACTCATATAATTATGCATAACAAATTATAGCACATTTTAGCAGTTTAAGACAACACACATTCATTATCTCATAGTTTCTGTGGGCCAGGCTTCCTGGTGTAGCTTAGCCTGCTCCTGTGGCACATGATCCTTTGCAGGGTTGCTGTGAAGA